TTTTTTTTTTTCAGGACAATCTGGGCTAACCAGATTTGCCATCATTTCATGTCCTCCTATGTGCCTGTATTTTATATTAATTTTTATATCAATGAAAAAAAAACAAAACAAATCCGTGTGACTAAATTCTTACATTTTTACATGTATCTCAGCATAGCAAGTTGGAAAAAGACATATTCTGCCATATATGAAGAGGGGAGACTCTCTGGAATCTGGCAATATAAGAACCATGATGCTGGGACATTCTGTCACTTCACAGTTGTCCAAAACATGTGGTTTGTGCCAGGCGGACATGATTGCCAGTATTTTTTCATTATTGCAAGAAATTCCATTGACTCATTCACAAGTCAGAAATGTGTTTTATCTGAAAGAAACATGCAATATTTACATCTAAGATCATAGAAAAATAGTCAACCAAGTGCAATGATGTCCTCCAAGATAATATTTGCCACTTTGTTTGCAGCAAACAAAGTTTGTTGTTGTTGGTGGGGGGGCACGTGTCCCCCTCAATGTATATGGTGACTACGGCCCTGTCATGCATGCATAATTAGGCTACAGTTGGCTGGGTGCGCAAAGTTGAAGTGGCTGGTCTTGTCATACAAAGTTTGATGGAGTGTCAACTGGTCAATATGGAGATATTTGTATCTTGAAAGCCGGACTACAAATGTGGATAGACAGGGAGAAACACATGCAAGCCTAAGATGTGGTAAGATACGATATTCCTCACTATATGAAGTGACTGATAACAAGATCTGTATAATGGATCGTAAAGAAATTCATCAGGTTTTTATTTTGTAGACAATCAGTCTGTATTTACAGTGTGATGGGATGACAGTACAATGATGTGTGTGGTATCACTGGAAAGCTATGCTCCTGCACTTTCATGTGATATGCGTGGCATTTCTGTGCAAGCCTGCATTCGCGAGTAATCCATCCAAGAGTAATGTGTGTGCAAAGCTGCATGAAAGCTCTGTTATTCATGATTTTAGTGTAACTTTATCATTTTTTTTCGCTGTGAAAACACTGGACATTGGTCTTGTCGGAAAGCTATGATCCTGCTGTTTCACGTGATATGCATGGCTTCTCGCTATGAAGCACGGTCGCGGAGAAAATCAATAGAGAAGAACAGGTGTGAATTTGGACGCAATATGCGTCGTTCGGGCCCATAGGGTTAATTGTGGGAAAATTCCACGTACCCCTTGGTTGCTAGTGTGGTCCGGGAAAATCTTCGTTTTAAGGGCTATTTGGCCCTAGCCCTTGGCACTCGCCCTCGATCCACAGGAGAATTGGCATACCCCTTCCCCTCACGTGAACACGCAAAACTAAGGGGTAGGGCTAAGGGGGAGGGCAAAGGGGTGGAATTGGGATTGAGCCTTACTGCGCCTGACGTTCTGCTGCTCTATCTGTGTCAAGAGGGTACTCTGCGCTCCAGCAGTGTGGTGCTATAAATAAGTGAATGCTGTTCAGTTATTTATAGCTATTATTTTGTTGGCTGTTGTTGTCAGGTCTTGTCTTTAAAATGCATGTGGTAGGCTAAGTAACGTTAATGTTATTCTCTTGCTCGCTCACTGAGTAGACTACTTATGTCCGTGCGTGGGAACCTACATGTTAAAGGTACCCTACAAGTGGGCTGGTAGTTCCTGTGCGTACTATATTAAATATAATCCTGCCAGTGCCACTGCTGAACGGTATATGTATTTAAACAGCACTCCTAATGTACAGTCCAGCTCCAAAAATAGAAAATCTATTTGTGGCAGCAGATGTTTTGATTGTGGCGCGCTTCCACATATAAATGAATGTGTGAGTAACCCTGGACCATACAATTCCAGTGAAACTGCTAAATGGAGCATCAGCTGTAGTGCTACAATTAAAAGAGCCTGCAGCGTTCCCAGCCTTTCAGAGCAGAAAATACTGCCTATTTTTTCATGGTTTTCAAAATAATATCTCATATATGATTGAACATATTCAAAGTGTTGAACCCCTTTGCCTTCACTTTTCGATGGCACGCTTCACAGATTTGTTATCAATCTTTGACATCATCTCCCCGGTTATTTTTTAGATATCAAAAATGCTCCCACACTGCCGATTTACTGCGCTTTATTGGCGGATATAAGGCTTGAGTGTCACCTCCCTCTGACATGTTTCAGCTCCTCTCAACACTTTAGGTGAGTGGCACAACTCTCCAAATACATAACAAAACGTTGTACACACGAATTACGTGACTCGCAAGAGGAGATTTCGCCACACACAAAAAACGTGACTCCTGAAATTCATTTTCAAAGGGTAACTGCAGGAATAAGGACATCATAGATTCTACGTTTCTTATAGTTATGAAACCGTGATGTTGTGTAACAGCAGTTATGGCAAAACCAGTTAATCCCAACATCCTTACTGTTGATTCAAGAATGTCTTGTTCATCTAAACTTTAAATTATATATCAATGTGAAAAGTGGTGGCTTTTCAAGTTGCTTTTGAGACAAAATGACCAGCACTAGTAGAATAAAGCACCACACAAATACAGCTGATAGTTGTAGACATCAGTGTGTAGGAACACTTGAACATCTTGAATACATCCACATATCAAAAGAAAAAGTCGATGGGCCAACACAAGGATAAGGTGATCTTGACACTGTAAGAAAAAATGTACTTGGTTCTTTTACAACATGGGAAAGCAAGTTTGATATTTTCCTGCACTGCTTGCACTCTCACTACTTAAACTTCAGTTTACATGTTTCACTACAAACCATCCAGCACTCTTTAAGGTCCTGAATAAACAAATTTCAGTGAATCTTGTATCACACTTTCCTCATTATGTGCTGCTGTATGTCAGGGTCTTAAAAGTAATTTGAACTCATGCCTATTTAATGAACAATGAGTCCTAACAGTGAGCTGTATTCAAGATGCATCTTCCTGCTATTTTATGGACATAGTAAAAATGCACTACCACCATTCATACTGGAGCTACTCTATTATAATTCCTGCAAGCCTTGTGATTCATCGATTCACAATATCTTAGCTTCAGTCATACGGAAAAAAAAATGCATCCTTTATTGCGTGACTGCTGAGACTTGGCCATTAAGTGATGGCAGTAAAGGTAGGAGTCAATATACCTCATTGTGTGATAGAGCATTTTAGTGCTTGATATTTATGTACAGTAGTGCCTCTGTGTATTGTTATGCTGGAGCACTGCTTTGATCATAAAGAACTACCAGGTTGAAACAGATGTAAAATCAAAGGTGTGTGTTAAGTATTAACATACAGTATGTAGGAGTTCAGTGCACAGGAGACATTTATAGAGAAGATTCTTTATGATCTTTTTGATAAAGGGTCTGTTTACTGCTTTATTTTGTGCACTGGATCATATTTTGGATTTTGGTTCTTGCTCTGAGCTGGCTGCCACCCAGGAGAAATAGTGCTTCAGGTATTTGTTGTTAAATGAATGCTGGTTGGACACCAGTCTGCCTCTTTGGTAATAAGCGACCAAAGTCAATACACCAGCTATATGTAATAACATTCTGGAGACACCTGAGATTGCTCTGGATGTGTGTGCCATTCCATTATGCTAACTGCTAAATCAATTGAAATCTCATTTTGCTACACAGCCTTGTTGGCGAAAAGCAGGTTCTGTGTCATGCTGTAAAGATCTAAAAGATTACCTTTGCGTTATCTCTGCTGCAGAGTGAAAGTTGGAGTGAAAGTAAAGCAAGAGAGGGAAGGCATCATCATATCTGCGTTTAAGCTCACTGCTGTGTGAACACATGGTTATCTATATCTGTGAGGAGGACAGATGTGCACACTGATAACTCTGAGGGAATATTTTTGGTTTTCAATCTTTAAATCAAGATCTCTTACATAAAATTCACATTCAGTTACTGCCTCAAGCGAGGGAGTTCAAGTATCTCGGGGTCTTGTTCATGTGTGAGGGTAGAATGGAGCATGAGATGGATCGGCGTTCCCGTGCGGCTTCTGCAGTGATGCAGGTACTGCACTGGTCCGTTGTGGTAAAGAGGGAGCTGAGGCGGAAGACGAAGCTTTCGATTTACTGGTTCATCTACGTCCCAGCGGATACAAGCGGCGGAAATTAGTTTCTCCATAGGGTGGCTGGGCTCAGCCTTAGAGATAGGGTGAGGAGCACGGACATCCAGAGGGAGCTCGGAGGAGAGCCGCTACTCCTTTTATGTCAAAAGGGGTCAGTTGAGGTGGTACAAGCATCTGACCAGGATCCTTGTGGGCGCCTCCCACTGGAGGTGTCCTGGGCATGTCCCACTGGTAGGAGGCCCCGGGGCAGACCCAGAACACACTAACACACTAGAGGGATTACATATCTCATCTGGCCTTGGAACACCTTGGGGTCCTCCAGGAGGAGCTGGAAAGCGTTGCTGGGGGGAGAGATGTCTGGAGTGCTTTGCTCAGCCAGCTGCCCCCGCAACCCAGTCCCGGATAAGCAGATGAAAATGGATGGATGGATTCTTTATTATCCTAAATAAGTCAATATGTGCTGATTTACAGAATTAAGAATAAAAAGACTGTTTGGGAGTTATGAGTGTGCAGCTCTTTTCTCAATTCTCTGATGTTTACTTGTGGGCCAGCACCTCAGTACAATAACTGCATTTCCCTTCAGGTTTTCCTTATATACCTCGGTTCACCATTACATAAACTGCTTTACTATGACATGTTTAAATTAATGCCAGAAACTGACAAAGATTTAATACAATTTAAGCAAATTATGTGAAATGCAAACCTTCCTTTAACACTTAGAACTGCTTACTTTCCAACCAGCACTTGCTAAAGCAACAATATATTTGGTAGCACTCCACCTTTCATTACAGCACAGATTTTACAGTAGGTGTTTTCTGTTATTTCTGCCTTCCACAAAAAAGAAATGTGAGAAATTAAAATGATGCAATGGCAGTCCCTGGAGCAGACTCAAATTCTGCTCTTGATGTAAAATCCATAGACAATTCTACAGCAAAAAACAACACAGCTATCCGTCCCAATATTTATTTGACTGTATAACTGTTGGCTTAAAGATGGTGTATAGTATGTTTATTTTCAGGTTCATATGTATATTTGGAGCTATACTAGAAAATGTTTCTGATACTGTCAATTGATGAAGTAGAGATCTGCTTATGGACATCAACAGCTCATCAGGAAAATAAATTAGTCTAGCTAAGTACATTTACTCAAGTACTGTACTTCAGTGCAATTTCAAGGTACTTGTACTTTACTGTAATTTATTTTCTACTACTTTATACTTCTGTTCCACTACATTTATTAAGCTTCATCTTTCATCTTTTGAGTCTGTGTGTGCATGTCATGGTATGTGGTCCTGGAAACACCTACTGCAGCATGAATTTCCACAGAAGCAGTTTTGAGTTGTTTGCCAGGTGTTAATATGTCTGTCTGTGGACAGATTTTGTCAACGTGATAGCATCACAACTGTGCAAGACGCATTCACAAAACTTTCAAAGTGTGTAGTTGAGATCACAATGAAGACAGAGATCAAAGATGGGTGTGGTCCAAGCAAGGGCGCCGAATGTAGGGGGGAAGGAAGAAGCGAAGGGGCCATTATCACTCCCACTTTATACCCCTTGCACCGTGGTTTTAAGTTGAGAGAAAATCTTAAAAAGCACGTACTGTATGTTCCCTTTAGTGGTTAACAGAACCAGGAACATCTTGTCTGTTCTCAAAATCTCATTTTCAGTCTTGTTTTCACACCTACATGTGCTTGAACATACGGTCACGCACACACAACCACACACAACCACACACACACACACACACACACACACAGATCAATCCCCTCCCAAATACTACCTGCAAAAGAAGTCCACTGAGAGCAGTTGAGAGGCACTGAGCTCCTCTGCAGCCGAGCGGGTACAAAGCACCGTCTTCGACCTCCAGGGGTCTGGGCCCGACCATGCCAGGACTAGTGCTCAGACATACCACTGGTGATACCAGGTCAGCATCAAGTAGAACCTGCAGCAACCTCAGGTAGCTGACTGAAAAGAGAAAGTAAGAGAGAGGGGGGTACAGAGGAGGACTGGTAAATGGCTGGAAAACCAAAGGGAATTAAGGGGAGATGGAACGCCTGAACACACAGAAGAACAAGAGGAAGAGGAGAAAGCAAACAAATGTGGCGAGCAGGGCCACAAGAGAAACAGGTGCATGGTGGAAAACAGAGGAGTGAGTGAGCGTACGGAGTGGGAAGTGAAAGTTTGAAATAGAAAAAGATGTTGAAAGCAGGTAGCAGAGGGAATGGAGGCACAGAGGAGAGGCAGTATAACAGCTGAAAGCAATTGAGGGCAGTTTTTTGAATTGATATGTGACAGAAAGAGAGGGAGTTGTGAGACAGTGAGAGACAGGGTTGAAAGAAGGTCAGCAAGACTGAGGGACCAAAGTGATGGAGATAAAGAGAGAAGCACGGCCAAAATGATTGCTAAAACACAGAGGGATCCAAACGGAGAGCTGCCAGCCATCTGAATTGCACTTATGCCATGTACACTGAGATTAGAACTCTCTGAGGGAGGGAGGACTCAATTAGTAGCAGCAGAAGAGAGGGAGGAGAGACACAGCACAGAGATAGTGGGAGAGGGAGGGACGGTTGGAGGCTGAGTGAGCGAAGGAGTGAAGAGAGAGAAAGGGGAAGAAAGAGAGATAGGCAGGCTGAGGGAGGGAGCCGATACATCACAGCAACCCTGACAGGCCACTTATCCAGCTGACAGACACAGACACAGGAGCAGCAGGGACGATCTGTCTCCGAGTGGTGCAGCGGGATGTGGGCCACTTAATATAATGAAAGTGTGTGAAATTCATGCCCAGGGTTTGGTTAACTCCACTCAGGATAAAACATTGACAAACAGCCACTTTACCTGTGCGGGAGTACATGGAAACCAAAAGGAGCTGAACCTCATTAGTCTATCCTGGGGTTTACACAGTAAATGGATAATTGCTGACACTCTCCAAATCTGAACCAAACTTCACTGACATGCACTGAGGTATCTTGGTTTTACACACCCTCTACTGTGTGTGTAATTGCACTGGACAGTGTGAACTGTAGTAGAAGACTAAAGGGGACCTATTGTGCTCATTTTTAGGTTCATACTTGTATTTAAGGTTTCCACCAGAACATGTTTACATGCCTTAATGGTCAAAATATGCTTTATTTTCTGCATACTATCTGTGCTGAACAGCTGTGTTCATCCTCTGTCTGAGAAAGCTGTTTAGCGCCTGCCTTTTTAAGCCCCCCTTCCAAAAGCAAATTTGCATTTCCAACTATAGAGAAGGCATTCTTACCCTCCCGAACCACTCCTGCTCCTCTTGCCGAAACCTAACTGACCCAGCCAACAAAGCCAATGACTACTAGCCAATCAGAGGGAAATTAGGACAGGTGCTATCCTAGGAAATGCAAATTCACTTCCCTAAAAAGCCCAGTCTGCTCTGATTGGTCAACGTTTCCTAGTCCTCTGTATTTTGGCATCTCTGTACCATCATTGCAGCCAGCGAATGACTGTAATGGAGAATACTGGCAGTTTTTATAGTGAAAAATCACCAATAAAAGCCTCTAAACACAACAGAACATGTTCCAGCAGCAATGTGAGTCAAAGTCAGGGAGAAATTAACAACATCGGCAAACAAGATTACACGTGTCCCTGATTAGTACGTAAAACATGTATGCTAGCTGTGTACTTGCAGCTGGGGAATGACTGTAGCACTAGCACTTTCTGCCATGAAAAATCACCTATAAAACCTTCTAAACACAATCGATCAATCTATCAAGTTTCAGCAGGGATATGATCCAAAATCAGGGAGAAATTACAAGTATACTATGCAGGATTCACAATGAACATACTCATACAGGAGTAATACCTCCCAACCATCACTTATGACCCACTAGTAGTACACAACGGTGTATATATATTTCTGCAGACACTCTGCTTGTATTTTCTTACTTTCTTCCTATTCTCTGTGCTCGGGACATTTATAAGCACGTACCCCCACAGCCCACAGGTGAGGTCGGGGCTTTACAAAAAGGCAGAGATCAGGTGAAAGACTGTAAGAAGCAGACATCCAGAGGACACAGTGCTGAAACAAACAAAAACATAGCGAGGTGAAACACCAAGTGAGAGTAAATCTAGGGTTGGCTTTTACTTACACTTTCACTGGCGAACATGTGTATGAGCACTAAATATAGACAATACTTTTCATGCTCAGGCTGTAAGGTTTTTTCTCACACTGCCATTCACTCCTTGCACGTATGCTCACTCACTATCTCTAGGTGTCATTGTCGGGGTAGGCCAATTGAGTCATGAGCTGATTCACAATCAACCAATGGCACAGCGACACACCTTCTCTGTCAGCCTATCATCTTACTGCTCCTCATTTCAATCTCTGGCGTAGTTCTTTCTTGCTGCCATCGTGCGAACCCTCCACCTCCCCATCACCACCTAAACTTTGCGGATTCATCAGCCTCATACGCCTCAGAGTCATCAGCCACCACCACCATCAGTGTCTGGACTCCATGGGGGGATTTATCCTGCTGCCACTCAGACTGGCGACCAGGATTACATGTTTCCCTGACATTGGCGTGTAGTTACATGTAGCAGCGGGGGCTATATTATGTAAACACTTGCAGTAGCATGCCTGCAGCATATGACTATATAAAGAAATACAGCACACTATGGCATTATTGTGTAGTCAGAGTAGAAATAAACTGTTCAGAAACTTTGGGCACATTTAACAAGGACATCCTTCATTGTAACACTACAGAAAACTATGGTAAAGCATAATAGGTCCCCTGTAAGAGAACAGACAAAACTGGGAGGATATAAACAAAATGAGGGAAGAGAAAACATAAAAATAACTGAAAAATCACATCAGTGTTCTCAGGTTACACAAACTTATCTAAGTGAACACTTGCACTGCTGATGAACATATTCTGTCTGCAAGGGCAAAAATAATGATCAAATAAAACTCTGACTTTGTTACCCAGCAAGAGACTGTCTGTGTTTCTTTTCTGAACAAGAAGTCGCTGCACAGCTGCGTCCAGACTCCAACTGACGCTCTTTTGGACCTTAAATAATGGAGAAAAAGAGACAGAAAGAACAAGGGAGAGAGGGGAGTATCAGAAGAATAACAAGATTACCACCAAACGTCTCATTGCGAATAAGAATGTATTATCTCAACAGAGCCAACACAAAGCAGACAAGAAAGTGCACTGTTTTATACCACAGCCTTATGTGATATGTATCAAATGAATCCAATTGGTGTTTTGTATTCCAGATTCACGTCTGACTCTATGCTCTACCTTAGTGTATGTACTATGTCTTACCCTTGACTGCGCCTTGACTGTTAACTTCTATAGGGAACTTGTGATAAGAGCAAAGCCGAGCTTTAGTGTGTACCTGGGCAGAGTGAACGCGCTGCAAGGTAATGAGGGAGGACAGGAGTAGATGGCTGCAGCACAGCAGGGCTGAGGGAGGACAGGCTGATGGAGAGAGGGATGGAGCAGAAGAGGAGGAGGAGGAGGAGGAGAGGACTGTCTGCAGCTGGTCCATCAGTCCACTGTTGGAGAGCAGCATGGAGACAGCTGGAGAGGAGAAGGCACTGTGTCATCACACTTTGATGGGCTTTTATGTCAGTGTGTGTGCACGAGAGGGAATAGCAGTTGGCCTGGATGGTGCATGGTGACGTGCTACAGGCAACCACCCGCAATCATGCACACACACACACTTGTGAAGACTTTGGAACATTACTAATTGATAAACTTGTTAAAACACATTCAGGCACAATAGCACATAATCAAAGACAGGCTCACATTGAAGTGCTCAGACATACTTAATCACCCACTCACTCTCACATCCTGCTCCTACTGTGATGAAGTTTGTCATAACAGCCCTGACCAAGTGCATGGTGCAATTATCTTCTGATCTGACCTAATAAACAACACTTACATTGAACGCTTTTTCAAAATCATTTTCAACCAAATTTGAGACTGTTTTTTTTTTTTGAAAGATCATCCTTTTGTGGCAGTAAGTAAGTAGGTCTTATGTGGGAACATGGTTATCAGAGTGAGTTAGTTTAATCTACATTTTGACAACAGATTAGTACAAGTATAAAATTAAGACAGTATTAGGTTCAGTAGCCATTTTAAAGGTTTGTAACATCAGAAATGTGGACTTTCATGCAGAGGAGCTTGACTCATTTTGACACAAGGAAATTAGATAAATTGTCTGTGGCAATTAAGACCTCACAAATTCAAATATAAGACTATTCAATGACATTTAATCTCTTCTACAACAGACCCATTTTGTCTTTTTTAAGGTGAGCAGGGGATCTTTAGGGGGATATAGCAGGTAAACAGTAGATGCCACATACATGTGGTATGCATCATCTGTAAGCTGGGAACCTGAAGATAAATTTGAGATGCAGCTCAGCACTGCGTGTCAAGTTTCTCTAGTCATAAATATGTGTTTTGAAAGTTTAGAGTGTATAGGCACTTAGATCATTATGGTGGAAGTAATTTGATGGACATTCCCATGTTCAATGTCTCATAATACCATTTGTTACACAGATTGGATGCTAAATTTAAACATTTTTTATGACTTGAGAATTTATAAAAATGGTTAAAATGCCTCCAAAATATCAGGTTAAAGCATCGCGACCCTGAGGAACACCACAGGAAAATCAAAACTTTGGACATTTGAAGATTTCTTTAAGAATTGCATTTTTTCTGCAACTGGATGTAGAGCATTTCTGTTTTGGAATCTGCTGAGAAATCTCCTTATTGTTCAAATACCCATAAAAGCCATACATCCTCTGAATGCCTGAGGTCTCTAGTTTGCGGTTGTAAAGTTTCATGAGGTTGTGATTTCCTACCAGTTACTCTAGGTCATTTTATACAGTGAGGTCAAGTTTAAATAAATAGTCTCAGTACAATTAAATGGCTACTATGAGGACTAACATCATCACATATTAATAAAATTGGGCTCACTGAATCAGCAAGAGTCTCTGCTCCCAGTCAGACCCAAACAAGACTGTTTAGGGACCCTAGTATGCACAAATATGCAAATAAAATGCATGGCACTAGCATTAGTTGGGCATGTCTGTATAGGGGAGACTTGTGGGTACCCACAGAACCCATTTTCATTTAGATATTTTGAGGTAAAAGGTCGAGGCACCCCTGTGAAAATGGCCATGCCAGTTTTTCCTTCGCCAAAATGTTGGAGTTCAAACTCTGGAGTTTTATATACCCCCCTTCTGCACAAGATAGCATACGATGGTTGGTACTAATAAATCCCTGAGGATTTCTAGTTTCATAAAATACTCTAGCTTTAAAACTCAGCCTGCCACTTCCTCCAAAAGACAGCAATGTTGGCCGGGAACGCTGGCAGCCCTGCGAAGTGGAAGAAGTTAAAGCCTAATATTTATAAAATATAATTTATGACATTTTAAGACTTTTTTAAAGGACCCACAGACATTTTGTGCAATGTGGAAACTAGGTTGTTGCATCAGCAAAAATGAACAAAATGCAAGGGGAAATCATTTCCATAACTTTGGGGTTATGCGCACTACGTTGGCAGCCAACCAGGACAACTGTAAATACTAGAAAATTTATGATTACATATTATTTAAAGTTATAAAGTGCTACTTTTTGCCTTGAGATAGAGGAATGTGTTACTTTTCTTTTCCTGTTCATCATCACTTCAAACACCATTTAACCCAAGGCTGAAGTATGTTGCATCTATAAAGTCATCACTAGTCATGAAGAAGTAAATGGTGAAATTAGGCAGCCCACAGCAGAAGCACTAAAGCAACACTAAGGCCATAATTAGCTTTGTCTCCCAATGGCATCCCTGGTCTCTGGCCACTGGCTCTAGCATCACCTTATTAACTACAAACCATGTAATTAAATCAATGGTCAATCAATATGTCAAATAACTGATGTCTTCATTTCTCCTGTTGATGGCAGGTCACAGTAAATTATAAGACCATACATCGTATTTATTAAATTCCATAATGGAGTTATTTCTTCTAATTTTGGCTCATTTTTCTTATTATGCATCAACATCTTTAGAGCTGTTATGATTATTTGATTAGGTGTTAACTATTGAATTATTTGCTTACTAATTTGCTAATTGATTAATGAGTCTGAGTATTTTTTTAAGAAATAATGTCAAAATTATCTGATTCCAGCAACTGAAATATGGATATTTTCTGGTTTCTTTCCTTCTCTATGACAGTAAGCTGAATATATTTGAGTTGTGGACAAAACAAGACATTTGAGGACGTCATCTTGGGCATTTAGAAACGCTGACTGACATTTTTCACCATTTTCTGACATTTTATAGACCAAACAGCTAATCGATAAATCAGGAAAATAGCCGACAGATTAATCAACAATGAAAATAAAAGTTAGTTGCAGACCAAGACGTAGGATTCCTGAGTAACTTTTTGTTTTCTCTTTAGAAATCAGATATCTAATAAAACCTTTAACCCACTCTGTTGGATCTGTTTTTTCTATTATGTGCAAAAAAAGAAAAAAAAAAGAGAGATTGAATTCACCTTTCTGACATTGTGTGTGTGTGTTGCTGTGTGTTTGAGATCTCTGAACTTTAGTCTCCTTACTCTGTTACTATGTGGGTGTGTGCATGCCTGTGTTTGCATGTGTGGTTTCGTCTATGCATTACTCAGTTTCAGCAAGGTGACAACACAACCCTGAGAAATTGTCGTGCTTTTGTGCAAATGAGTGAGGAGCTCTCTGACTTGACAGCATAACTTAAAGTGTACAAAACAATGTGCAAGTCTGAGCCGCATATCTGTGTACCATTATGCTAAGATGTACAGTGCATGTCAGCATGTATGCTTATTATTTCCTCTGTGTACCAATGCTGCATGCTTGTCAAGGTCAGCCTCACAGCCTCTGTCAGAACAGGGCGGAAGAAGAGACAAATTGAGACAGAGGGACGGAGTGCGAGAGATAGAAACAGGCAGAGGGTGAAGAGGCAGAGTGTGTGAAGGATGTGACGTCAGGAGGAGAGAGTGAAAAACACAAGGAGATAGAAAGCGAGAAAGGCAGGAGGAAAGTATATCTAACCTGTGTCAGTGCAGTGTGCAGGGGACAGGCTCAGACAGCAGTACAGGTAGTTGAGGGCAGGGAGCAGGCTTCCTGTGTCAGTAGGCTTCAACCTCCCTGCTATATTGCTCACTGAAACACACACACACACACACACACACACACACACACACACTCAGGTCTGATGGTTCACTTAATATTCTATCTGCAGTGCTCTCAAACGCATTAGTGAGACATTGAGACACGATGTTACAGGCAGATAAATGAAACACAATGAGCTTCACATCATGTCTCCCACATGTCAAGAAAGACGGAATTAATCTGATCTGCAATAAAAGGACAAGTGCTAAATCACAGAGGTACGAGGGTGTTAACATCAAGGAGGAAAAAATCAAAACGAATGTGACTCTAAACATAATACGCTCAGAGTTATAATTTACCAGATCCGTCTAGTAAATTTCTGAACAGCATTTTCATTTGCAGATCAGCAGCGGGCACTCCCCTGTTGATGAGGATATTAAATCAAAGATGAGTGATGCCTCCACTTAGGAAAGAATACAGGTGAATATGGAGGGGGGTGAGATAAACCCAGCAGCACAACAGACCATGTGTTGAATAGAGAGATATGCCTTGGAACCATTACCAGATGATTATGTGTCTGTGGTGTAGCATGTAAGAGCCTGTGTGAGTGATGAGCATACTGAGGAGTGTTTAAGTAGTCTGTATGCATGGCTGCAAAGAACTGGATGTATTGTTTGTCATGTTACAGCATTTCTGAGGGTGTGTGTGTGTGAGAGACAATGTTTGTGTGTGCCTGTAATGTGGCAAGCATCTTATTGAATAGGCCTTTAAATAACAGCAGGTGTTTGGTGATGTAGAGTAGGGGTGGGCGATATGGCCCTAAAATAATATCACAGTATTTTTGTGATTACTTTATTCTTGACGATATGACAAATTAGTAAAAAACCTGTGACCTGTGACAGGCTGTTATGATACCAGAACTATCACAGTCACACATATGTAGTTTTTCGTTGAGCTGCAAGTTACACGTAGGATTACATTACCAAAGGTTTATGACAAAATCACTTGACGACACCGACTCCTATGTGCGCACGGTGAGAGAGGAGAGGGAGAGACGCTGTGCTGCTGCCAGAGGAGCTGCTGAATGAGTTCCCTCTGAGCGGTAAGTCACAAAAAGAGGCTGAGGAGTCCGGGGCTGTTCTTGAAACATTCAGGACACCACAGTTTATTCCACACTACTGAAGCTGCTCCTCTTTTAGGAGCCACCACAGAGTCTGTACTAAATTTGCTTTCAGCCATGCTTGTTGTTGCCGTGGGTAACAGCATGACGTCAATCCGTCAACAAGTCGAAATATTGCAAGTACCACGATATGAAATTTTCATATCATATTAAAAATGATACCGCTATTATCGTGAACGAGATGATATGGCACATCCCTAATGCAGTGTAATGTAACAAAATGTATAGGAACTGTGTGTGTATTTGTGTGTGCTTGTCAGTCCCTGTCAGATTTTGCGGGCTTGTTTTGGGATTGTCGCCACCTAAAATGCCTGATTTCACCGCAGCTTTTCCAACTAATTGCAACGTATGTCACATCGTTTTTAGGCATTTGTACGCCTGTGCATCAGTGATAGCCGTGGCCTGTGGGAGTATGTTTTTGGGTTGTCCCATTGTCCGTCAGTCCCATTCTCTTGAGAGAAGACCTTGAGCAAATTTCTTTAAATTTGGCACAAACTTCCTCTTGAACTCAAGGATGAACTGATAAAATGTAGAAGTCAATGGTCAAAGTCACTGTGACCTCACAAATATGTTTTTGGCCATAACTCAAGAATTCATACAACATTTCATTCAAATGTCTAATTGGATAAAACCTCACCATATCACACTGTGAGAGAACTGACTAAAGACTTCTGTCTGTCCCTAGATCTACAACTTAGTATTATGGGGACAGGGCCATCTCTACCGCTGCCCCAAAACTCTTGAAGTCTCCTCCTCCCACCATCTGTTTCTCCCCCACCATTGAGATTTTCATGAGTCATCTTAAAACACACTTTTACTCACTAGCCTTTAACTGTGCATAATGTGATTGTCATTATCACTGTCACAATGTGGTGACTGTTACTATTATTTTATTGCTATTATCACTCAAAGTTTTGTGTTTCTTTCCTTCATTTTGTTTCTCCTCTGTGTATGCTGTGGAGCACTATGTGCACTATTTAAATAAAGTTGACTTGACTTGAAAGTAACTCAGGGACAGAAGGGGAGACATTTGGTCAGACACTAAATTGGGGACATTATTCTTGAAGCTGTGGCGACTCTACAGACCTTCTGTGCTGGTGGTTTAAAGATGTGTGTGAAGCATACACATTTTAGAATATGGATGTAAACTGTAACTGCAACTTGACTGGTTCACGAAGGAATACAACCATGATTAACCATTCTATTTTTTGTAAAATTCATTAAATATCAAAGGCATCTTGTTCCAGTGAGAATAAAAGTTTATGATTTATACTACACTTATACTACCACTGTCCTTGCACATTCAATCTAACGCACCTAGATTCTTTCAGCGTGTGCAATAGAAGTGGATTTAACAGCTTCCGTCATGGTCATTTGTCTTGTCTCATGTGTTTTGTCGTAGAAAAGTGTTTGATGAATTGATGATTTTTGTCTGACATGCAGTGCTGAACAGTTTACCCCTGCTTTTGATATAGAACATCAGGGACTTGGCTTGCACGGCCTTCAGCAGTTACCTTCATGTCGCATGTCTGCATTGTCAGTACAGGAAACAGGGAAGTGAGTCCAGTGCCACTGTGCAGGGACTGTCAAGTTGTTGTGGTGAGAATTCACAGGCATGGGCTGAATCTGCTAACTGCTGCAATAACAACATCGCAACAACATGGAGGGACTGGTTAATAAATAAGGGCTGTGAGGAGTTATGCTAAGCATGACCTGCCAGCAGCAGCTTTTGACCTCACCGTGGTAGAGCAGCTTGAAGTGCACTCCGTCCATCTTACTGTAGGAGGAAGATGAAGGTGGGTCACTGGCCTGCGTCACACAAAGCAGCTTCAGCACCAGAGGGAGTGAGTTCACTGCTGCACAAAGTGAGAAAGGAACACAGCACGACTGTAAACAGAAAATGTGGAGAAGAGGCGAGAGAGACAGACAAGACCGATGTATTTAAGTAAATATGAACAGAGTGAAAGTGCTGTGAGGGAGAGAGAAGGTAAACTTTATAAGACAGTGAGGAGAGTGAAGAGAGACAACAGTGTGTATGTGTGAGAGAGAGAGGAGGATGAGGGAGTTGTGAAGGTAAGAAACAGCACTGACAAGCCTGGATTAGCATTTCACCTCGCCACATTACTCAGTCTGAAACCTGATGTTCCAGAGGATTTTTCAGCATCACCAAAAGAGGACAGGGACTACGTTTACATGCACACTAATATTCCACTTATCATTCAGAAGAAAATACTCTGAATTTAATACGGGTCATGTAAACTGCATATTCCATTTGAATATTCTGAAATAGGGCTGTTTCCAAATGTAGCATTTTCTGATTAAGACGTGGAGTATGCTGAAACTATTCAGATGGATTTTGTGGACATGTATACAGCACATTCGGAATATGCGTTTCAGCTGCAGGTTATTTATGCAGTTTGCATCACACAGCCTCTTACTTGTTTATGGTCAGCTCTGTGCGTTGTAAACAAATCAACTAGCCAACAGTTTGCAAGGCTGGGGTACAGATGCAGGCCCAAAAGTAATAACCACACTTCTGGTCAGAAGAAAAAACACAACTATTTTTAAATATTATAAAACTCGAATAATAGCAGGTTTCTGGATGTGCGAAAATATCACAACGTCTACCTTATCAAGAAGGTGGTTAAAAGAATGAAAGAAGGAGGCTGTGTTTGTATGGTCGAACAATTATACCACCACTGGAAAACTGTGTAAAAGTCATATTTTGACAGCTGCATTTAAACAGGAATATTAGTGGAACATCCAATTTCATTAGCCGTGTGAACAGCTATAATATGAGTATTGTCTTTTTCAGAATGAGGGCAAAAAATGAAATGGTTTGTGCCTGTAAACGTAGACACTGGCTGGAGCACATAGTGATCATCAAGAGGAGGCAAGAGAAAGAAGAAGTGAGCACATCTTAATCAGAATAAAAAATACCAAGCAAACTTTAAATAACAATATTCTGATCCTGAATGTAGAACGGGTTAAGGGTGAAAGAAACAGGCAGAGAGAAACAAGACAGGGAGCATGGAGACGGAGACGAGGTGAAAGGAGACAAAGTGCAGGAGTTCTCCAACAGGAAATAGACTGAGATCAGGCAGAACAGTCATCTACATACTTCTTTCACCCCTGTAGTGCATAACATTAAAATGTCTCCCCTCGGGATGCTGCTGCATTAGCAGCTAATATAAAGTATATATTAATGCAAATTACAGTGGGCTGAAGTAGAACGTGTGCCTGGATAACGGTCTGTAATCCCCACAGGGCTTGAGATGAGCAGAAAGCAGGCAGAGGCTAACCACAGCAACAGTTTCTGAATCCCCAGCTGGCGCACGGGTGTTATGCCCTTCAGCTGTGCTCATTAACCTGGTCAAGTATACAGACATAATAACACCATATGGCAGACACCTCTGCCAAAAGCACCAGATAAGCATGCATGAAATGCGCAATGCATCTGGGAATCGAACCCTTAGGGAGTGCTCATGACTGATCTTATTTGGACAAGAAAGCAGTTTCACGAAAGTGAAACACCGAACACTGAAACATTACCAATGAAATTTGTCAATATTTTTTAAGAAATGTTAAATTTGTGAAAGTTCTGTCATGTTTAATCCTCATCTTCTTTGTAACACTGACATTCATTAACTTTAAATAAGCTTACATTGTAATGACATGATCATTATGGCTGTCCCAAATACCATTTCTTTGGGGGTCCAGATAATTGGTGGTAATCAGCAGCAAAGGATTCAGCCAGACATACTCAGGTTTCAGCTGAGATGGACGGCAAAGCGCTGCAACGTGACTTTCAGTTTCATTTTTATTAAAGACATTTGTTTTAAAGATTCTGTTATTCTACAGTATTGCTGTTTGTATTGTTACTTGTTATTAAAAAACTTTTAGTGTGTGGTGTGTGCATGTTTGCAATTCTGAGGGGTTTGGTTGTACAAGGTCAACGCCTGACAAAGCAGCAGTGTCCTTAAAAAGCTGCACTTCCACTGGTCCCCTTTGCTTAGTTTATATCTGAATACTGTAATTTAGGACTAACACTATAGAAAGAAACCTATTCCTCTCTCAAATATACAAGAATACACAACCTTTGTGTGATTGCAACCTCATGCACACCAGTGCCACTGCCTGTTGAAACTAAATCAATACTATACACTTCATTCAGGAGAGTCAACTAGATAAACAAGTATCTCACTGCTGACGGATGCTGTGAGGATTCGTCCTAACAGAGGATTAATGGTTCTCCCCTCCAAACATTAATCAGAAGAGACAAGCATTCCAGGGGTTGTTTTGCCAGTTCAATTCAATTTAAACACAACCAAGTTTTAAGAGGGACTTTGTGATTACACCTCAGTTAAACCCAGTTTTCCTGGCAGAACAGTTCAAGGGGACCCACGATGCTTACTTTAAAGGTTCATACTTGTATTTAAGGTTTCTACTTGAACATGTTTACATGCTTTAATGGTTAAAAAAATACTTTATTTTTCTCATACTGTCTGTGTTTTACCCTCAGACCTATAGTTGTCTTGCTTTGGTCTGAATCAGGGACTCATTTTGTTAAAGGCTGTATAATTGCCTAGAGTTGGTTCGTGTTCTCACGGCAGCATTTACAAACGGACCAGATCAAATGCCTTGCGCAAGAAAGACCCTCTTGATTGGTCAGAATTTCCATGTGGGAAAAATCCAGGAAGTAAACCAAACGTTGAAGAAGAGTACACTTGCAAGATAAATGTGACACTTTCTAATGTCACAATGGAGGGACAACTACGCAGGTTGATTTTAGCGCTGCTCTTCGTGGACTATATTGCTGTCATTGTTCATTTTAGTCAAACCATACAGTTTGAAAACGAGGCGCGGCTCCAACTAGAAAACAATGTTTTGATGCACTGGATGTGCTGAATGTGCATATTAAGGCAGTACAGGAGGAGGTGCACATTAATAATCCTCCAGGACTGTAACATGCTCATGTTTAACCCAAACAATGTGTCATGAGACTGCAGTTGGTTCGGATCCAGGTCGGAATACCTTCACAAACCAACCGCACCAGAGTTTGTTTGTAACCAGACTGAGACCACCTCTTCCAGAAAGTCTCAGTCCAGTTGTTTTAGTGCACACCCGAGTGTGATTGCAATGCTCACACCTGCCCAAACGAACTGCAGGGGGCAAACAAACTTGGGTATGATGGAACTGAACCAAACAGGGCAGATGTCAAAGCACCCTGAGACACTGCGTTTTAGCACCAGTCTCTTCAAGCGCCGCTCCTGAAAAAGCCCATTCTGCTCTGATTGGTCAGCATTCCAGGTCTTCCACACAAGCCCCCAGGAGCAGTGCTGGGCTTTGAAGCCAATATGACATGGACAGTGAAATTCTATAGTGTGTTAACTTTATGGGCACAATGATGAGGCAGATCTGGGTAATTTTACACCCAGGAAGTTTAACTTTTTGGCTTCATATGCCACTCAGCAACTTTCATGGGAATGAACAAGGCCCCAGCCACTCCACTGTATCCAGTTCTCTTTATACATCCATGCTTTTGCATCTTGGCATCTATGCACCATCACTGCAGCCGGGGAATGAGTTTGACAGAGAACAGCTGTACTTTCAGTCTTAAAAAAATCAGCAATTAAATCTTCTAAACACAACTAAACAAGTTCCAGCAATGCCAGGTCCAGGTCCAGCAGGACTATGATCCAGAATCAGGGATAAATTAACAAGATCAACAACCAAGATAAGCTGCTACATAATGTAAACACTTGGAGTAGCGTGCCTGGAGCATATGACCACCTTCAGAAATCCATCGTCAGGGAGTATTCAGATGGAGTTTCTTGCTCACAGGGATTACTTTTACATACGTTTACCTCTTTCACATCTATAATATGGTAATAAATAAGGATGTGTCAAGTATTCTTACTTTGGACTGTCCTTTTGCTCAAGTATGAGCTCAGTCCAACATGACTTTTCTTGCCCAGCGAAAAGTGTCCTTGACTAAGACAATAAATAGTTTTGTTCTAGGCAGGATTTTGCATAATTTGATTATTGACCTAGAGAAACAAACAAAACAAAAACAAAAACCTTTGTAGTGGCTGAACAGCTACAGTATGTGCAGATTTTTACTGTTTCTTAATGTGACCATAATCAGCCCACCTTTAATTCTGTCTTTATGATGCATTGCAGTTTGAATACTTGTTAGAGCCATCAGAAATAAAATGCTGGCAGGGAGAGTGGCCCAACAAACATAAATCGACATAGGTATTCTTTCAAATGATCCAGTATGTGAGAATAATTAAACTAAGTGCTTTCCATTATGTTGCAAAAGAACATCGTGCCAAATGGACGTATTAATCCATGCACATTGGGTTATAGATGTTTTACTGCGGTGTCTAGCCATTGTTATTTTCATATCATTATGCAAATTCTCTGTTTAATTTGTCTGCCTACTCAGATCAAGGTTGTGGAGTTAAGGATTAATTAATCTTTATATGATAGTTGGATGATTTTTAAGACTTTTTAAAGATTTTTAAGAATACCTATGATCTTAATTTCAATATACAAATGAGAAATTTGCTTCAAGTATGCTAAAACCAGGGCTGATCCAGCACTAACTTTTTTCCCAAGGAGCACATGTGCTCCTAAGTTGAAAAAGTAAGGAGCGCACAAAGAACTTTAGGGGCACAATGTAAATTGATCAAATAATGTGTTTTCCGTAATAAACGTGATGCAAATAGACATGTACAAGCAAAATTATTTAATGAATTTGTATACAAAATGTACAGAAAGGTAAAATCATCAAGTTTTGAAAAAATATTGCAATTTAATTTTGTCTTTAATGTGATCTTATATATATTATCTTTGCAATATGATTATCTTATAGCCTATAATGTTCAGTGTTTCCTCATCCCTCAATTGGAACCCATGGTACAATACCAGTGAAAGTATCATGGTTCTGAGGCAGATGTGCCTTTTGTCATTTATAAAAAGATAAATCACTTTTCTATAATACATCACTGATATTTCAATGGAATAAATTACTTATTTATTACTTATTCATACTTCAAAAACAGCATCAATAAGTGATTAACATAGGGGGGATCAAAATAAAATAAATAAATGAAATAAAAATCAACCAGCCACCCTCCTCCCCTGACAGTCCCTTCATAAGTAACGAACAGTCCCTAAAGTTTCTCCTCTGATACGCCACATACTGTGTGCCGCCATGGCTCAGCTGTTCAGGTACTTTTGGGCAGTCATGACAACAAGTTATTCACCTGGAGCCGGACTTATTCGCCAGTAAGCCGTTATAATGCGCTGCCGTATTTGACAGGAATACGTATTCCTGTCCGTGTCTGTGACCCCCATTCAACCCACAACTGGCGGGATTCGCCGTTACTGTTTATCGCCACACTGCCAACATTTTACTCTGTCCGTCACCGCACGCTGTTTGATTGCGTTATCAAAACACGCCGCCTTGCTTTTCACTTATTCCACCGAATACCAAATGTGTGGGTTTTTTTGCAATATTCGGCCAAATATATTCGGTGCATCCCTAAATAGGAGCCTTCCCCCACTCCCCTCACCGCTGCTCTCCTCATTATACTGGCTGCTGCGCTGTGCAAGTGCACAGATGTCTCAGGTGGTGCATTTGCAAAAATGTTTTGAAGGAGCAGCAGCGACGGCAAAAATATATGTAGAGGAAACACTGACGTTATTACTATCCTAAAACATTCTCCAGGTCCTCTGAAACTCTGCAGGACTTATTTCCACCCTGCCCAGCAGCGGTACCGTGGCGAACGATCCCTAACTGCGGGGAGAACGGAGCAGGCTTCCCCGGAGGTCCGCCGCTTTTCCCGGTCCGTCTCCTCCACACTGCCGCTGCCAACAGTGGGACTATAGGCCTATTCACTGTGCCGACAGTGGCTTGGAAAACCGGCCATAACACCAGGGCCTGCCCTGCCTGCGAAGCGCAGTGCACCGAAATTCTCCAGCGAGCCAGAGCACTTCCGTTCACATCAGACGTGCATTTCTCCACGCTGGTCGACAAGCGGTTCTATTCCCAGCTGTTGTCTCCGTCACATTTGGGGCTGTTTTTCCATCATGGGTAACTACCCAGCTTGACACATTAGCTCGCGGCTCGCGCAGAAAATAGACCAGACGCCGAAATGATCGCTGCAGGGCCGGCGGCAGGGCTGCGCGGTGCGGGCGGTGTGGGTGACACAATCGGTTAACATGGGCGCCGAAAGGAAACTGGCTTCATTTCTCGGTGCTTCGAGGCTATTCACGGCACTTCCGCGGGCGGTGTGGTTCTTAACCTTGTCACATGGGGAAGAGGGAAGAGGGAAGGCGGCTGGAGTTCCTCCAACATTAGCGGTTAGATTATCATATTTTTTTATTGACAAAAATATAGGCTGCTTCGGCTGATTTTTTTTATGTGCACACGTGCCCCTAAATATTTTTTACAGTTCACACACACCTATTTTTAGTCGCAAATGCGAGTGAAACGCTCGCACTGTCGAGCCCTGGNTTCCATCATGGGTAACTACCCAGCTTGACACATTAGCTCGCGGCTCGCGCAGAAAATAGACCAGACGCCGAAATGATCGCTGCAGGGCCGGCGGCAGGGCTGCGCGGTGCGGGCGGTGTGGGTGACACAATCGGTTAACATGGGCGCCGAAAGGAAACTGGCTTCATTTCTCGGTGCTTCGAGGCTATTCACGGCACTTCCGCGGGCGGTGTGGTTCTTAACCTTGTCACATGGGGAAGAGGGAAGAGGGAAGGCGGCTGGAGTTCCTCCAACATTAGCGGTTAGATTATCATATTTTTTTATTGACAAAAATATAGGCTGCTTCGGCTGATTTTTTTTATGTGCACACGTGCCCCTAAATATTTTTTACAGTTCACACACACCTATTTTTAGTCGCAAATGCGAGTGAAACGCTCGCACTGTCGAGCCCTGGCTAAAACGTTTGTTTGCTTCAAGCATGTATACATTTGGTATGCCAAGGAAACAAGTTCAGGAAGTTTCAGTGGCAATATTCAATCCTAGAGTCACTCATATTCAATTTATTGCCAGCATTTTCTACTTGGAAGGGTGCAGACATGCAAGGGTCAAGTCTCCTCTGCCTCTTCTTTTCATCTGCCACGATGTTTTTGAGACCTTTTTTTACATTTATTTTGTATTTTTTTTAGGCAGGCAGGCATTTGTGGTAAGACAACATGAAAAACTGACAGGTTTGCATTATTTAGTTATATAAAAACTGGTTGGTATAAAAAGTTTCAACAATGAACCCAATGCATTTACAGTCTCCAAAGTATTATTGTGAATTGAGGTATAAATTGTTTTCTTGTAACGTTTTGGTCTCATCTAATTTTCATTGTACAGCGTGTGAGGTAAACTGTGTAGTGGGAATTCTGTAGAGAAACATTACACAAGAAACTTCTCTTAATCAAAACTAACTTTTCAGTCAATATGAAGAGATGGGCGTCTGAGACCAAATAGCCCAGGTGTAGCGGCTGGTGTTGGCTTTTTATGAAGCTAGATTTAATTAAGTGTCTCTTTCAGTGTTCGCTGTATGAGGAGAAAAAAAGACTGTCATGATGCATTTACTCTATTCCATCTCACAGTGCGGGAGTCCACTGGGTAAACCTGTGAGTGTATGTATACTGTACGTGTGTGTGTGTGTGTGTGTGTGTGTGTTTGTGCATCTGCCAGATCATAAAAAGTAAACCCAGGGGAGTAAACAAACACATTTACCTCAATCTATCAACTGTAATTAACTGCATCTTTGCTTTTAAGCAATATAACTGGGCATCAAACCAATTCAGCTGGCATTAATCTTGATACATGATTGTGAACAGTCAGTGCTGTGGAGGTAAAACGCTCATGATTGTACACTAACACTGAAAATTGGTCTGCAAGGGTGAAATTGCGAAGCTGAGAGGTTTGAGAAACTGAGTGATTATATATTTTATGGAGAATAAGTAAAGTTGACTCTTTAAAGGGCGTCAAGTGTCAGCACATCAGAGGCCAATTAACATCAAATAGACCAAAAGAAATAATAATTTAAATTTCAAAAAACAGTGTCTGTGTGTGACTGTGTGATTATGCATTTATGCGTGCATGAATGGGTAATGTGATATTTGATTGTACACAGATTAAATCAGCTCCTACAATAGTGCAGTTTACTTAAAGGGCACTCTGTTGCCAAAAGTTAGGATCACATGTAACTTATTCAAAACTCACTGACTATGGGCTATTAATGTCAAATAAAAGAATCCATCACTGCACTGCAGGTGCATGAAACTGTCAGAAATGTTTTGTGTTGTGTGTTTTTATCTCTGCATTTTCTATTAAATATCATAACGTAGCATCAGGCCGGCTCAGACCAGGGTCCGACAACAACACAGCTGTGCTCCATTGACTCTGATGCGATCGTTTCAGATTTCCTTCCTTCCATTTTCAGAGCTAAATGTTGTGTCTGGGGCACGTCGTGTATTAATGATACTCGTTACCTGGAGAGGTTGGAAAAAGATATATGTTTCTTCCCTGTTCCAAAAACAAAATCAAACCCTGAAAAGTGTAGGGTTAGCTAGCTAGCTACTGAAGATACAGCCTACTGAATGTATACACATGCTGCTTTTGCTTTTTAATGATTATAACAGTGAAACAAAGACCGACCCTGCTGTACAGGAACCAGTGACGGGAAGCAGGGAAACTTTGCTCATATTCAACCAGCTGTGTGTCATCACATTGTGCACAGATGAGATGAACGTTGTTTGACATCTCCCGGAGATCCCTGACCTTCTGGGGGCGAAGCCAAACACTGTTCATCTGCACACATTGTGATGCCACACAGCTGGTTCAATATCAGCAAAGTTTCCCCTTATATTCATTGTCTTGTGTGGCGATCAGCAGTGATGTGGTGGTTCACTTTTACACTGTAATCTGTAGCCTATAGTTCAGCTTTAGCTTCTAACTAACTTTGTCTTTTTAACCTGTTGTTGCTGCTGAGTCAGTTTGACATCCTGGATATATCCTTCAAACACAGACTGTAGACCCCTCTGTCTACTTCTCTCTGGAATCACTCTTTCGTTTGTCCAAAAATATGATTATATTTATTTAGGGAGTGCAGTTAGTTACAGTGTGGGCTCCAGGCTTACTGCGACAGCTTGTTTGACCATCACAAAGGGGCGGGTTTTAGCAAAAGGTCCACTGTGAGTAGGACTGACTGATTTTGAAGTTCAACAAATTCTTAAATTGTAACTTTACAGCGTACCTTTTTTTCTAGTATCTTCTATTACAGTGTATTTTTCCCAGAAAACTGCAGGTCCACTTAAACTAAAAAAAAAGTTCTTTTAAATCAAGGCTAAAGACTTTTCTGTTTGCTGCTGCCTTTTGTTGAATCAAATGATTATTTATTTCTTACACCACACTGTGACTCTTATTCTTGTATTTTTAGCTTTTGATTTTCTATTTTCTTGCTCAAAAATGAGTGTTTTACTAGTTCAATGTCCTTTTATAATGCATGTCTTTTGCACTTTGCCTCAATCTTTTTAATGCTTTATGGAGAGCACTTTGAATTTATCTTGTTACTAAAATGTGCTATATAAATGAACTTGCCTTGCCTTACATCTCATCTCATCCATTCCACTAAACTTGAGCCACATGATAGTTGTACTGAACTCTACACACACTATTTTGTCTCAAAATAGTTTTTTCTCAGGGATACGACAGGTTTTTCTATAATACTTCTCTAATGCTATAATCTGTGGTTCTTACCTTGTGCAGTGTGTCCTTGTCCAAGCCCATGTCCCATGTTCTCCACACTGAGCCTCTGCAATGCCTGCAGCAAGGCTAGCCTGAGATTGGTACACAAGTCAGCCTCATAATCTCTTTGAGCACGCAAAAGAACTTCCAGCACTGCCAGGGCTCGTCCTGCCAGGGGGGTCTCCCTGGTGCAAACCATGTCCTGAAGTCATATGGCAAGACAAACAGATGGATAGACACCAGCTTTGAGACAGATTTATGTAGAAAATCTTTGTGTATCAGTGTTGTCCAAACACAGCAACACCAACCAGGTACTCAGTGGAGGTTAAGGCCCAGACACACCAAACCGACATCAAAAAACTAGCAGCAATAAAGGCTGATTGTTACGTCACCTCACGTCGCCTGTGTATCAGCCAATAACTTGCACTTGAACAAAACACAAAGACTACAGCCAACGACCAACCTTTCATTTCTCTTCTTGTCCACTGAGCTGAACTGACAGAGTTCACGCCAATTCAACATGTTGAATCGGCTAAAAAACACCCAACAAGGGCCAACGATACGGCATAAATTGTTGTCTTGATGTGTCAGGGCCCTTAAAGACAAATATGTGTTTTCCACTAAGTCTTGTTACTGCTTCAGACTTGACAAATTGTTCTACGGAGTGTGAAACATTGCAGCACATCATGCAGCATTTACAAGTATCTCCAATTAAATGTGAAAAACTTAAATCCAAGCTCCTGTTTGGGGTCTCTGCTTCTCACCAGGAGCGTCATTACGACAGCCGGGTACTTCTCTATCAGAGTTAGTAGCTCCTTAGTTTCTGTGTCTGGCTCCTGATCCTGCCTCTTGTCTGCTTCTCTCTTCTCTCCCGTCTCCGGTATGCCTGCCTGTACCCAGGAATGAAATCCAACCAACATTTTCATCAATTTCAGTTTGTAAGAGTTCAAAGGGAATTAAAAAACCTGTCTAATGCATCTGTAATAGTTACTCTGTTAGAGTGAAATTAATGAGAGGAACAAGCAAAGTGTGTTCAATTCCAAGAAGTAAAATTATCATTGACAAACGTATGTGAGTCTGAGATAGAAGTGAAACAATTGTCCCCTCACCATGGTCTGCTCTGCATCTGTGTGCTGTGCTTTCTTGGTCAACCAAAGTTCTAAGACCAGGGGCCCAAATTTCTCTGCAAGCTCCGAATATCGACAGATGAAGTGGAGGAGTGCAGGATGGTGAATGTAGAGGGAAGAGAAGCTTTGGCAGGAGGAGAGCGCCTTGCTGATGCAGTTCAAAGGAGCCTGGAGTAGGTTGGTAAAGAAAAAAAATTAAAACACTAAAGTATTTTCTTTGAGACGAGCAAACAAACACAAGTTAAAAAGTTTGCACTATTGAAAACAGTTACTTTACAACCAAAATGTGAGACTGCTTTTAAACCCCACTGAGGCAGAGCCCTCAGTCCCAGCAGAATGCCTCCTGCAATCTATTGCTTATACATATTCATTGTTAACATAAAGTAAATATCATTAAGAGAAACTGCAGCACAAAGTTTTGTCATGTAATGTTCGTCTAAATAGACGAACATTATCTTGAGAAAACATTATTTTCTCTGCTTTAGAATTAAGAGTGAGCTATTATTAGTATTCTTTGCGGCTGAATCATGTACAGCACAATATGGATTTTGCATCAAAAGATGAATATGAGCTGTCAAGCTTTGATCCTGAGTATACCATGGCCTCCACATTAATGGCTTCCATATTAAACTGCACAGAACTCCAGTACATGCTGTTCCATTTCTCTGCACAAGAAAAACAACACGTTCAACACCTTCATCTTGACGGAATCTTGACACCTTAATGTTGCAAGTGCTTGTAGGTAAACCTGTCTCGCTGAATATGTCTTGAGGTTTTTTCGTCACATTGTTGGATTAACTCGCTGAACAGAAACTATAATAGGATATTTAAAACTGAGGCAGACTACTTGCTTCAGCTGTCAAACTGTATTTTGGCAAGCACTGCAAACGGATAAAAGGCAACACTTAAAAATATTGAAACAAGGCAAATCTACAAAATGATTGTGCAAAGTATGAATGTCAAGGCTTAACACGAGGAAAACGTTTGTGTCAAATCAACAACACAAACGGAGGGAATTTTGGCTAATGCCACTATTCCATCACATACACTGGTCTTAAAGGTTCAGTGGGTTAGAAGCCCATCACAGCCAAACAAGCGGCGTCCAGAAATCAATTCGTAACAGTGTTTTGACGGGTTTTATTCACTGGGTCTGTATGTTCTAGAGAAGAGACCTCTGCAGATAATTCAGCTCCTGGTAAAAACCTCTTGAATGTCTGGATCTGAACTAATCAGAGAAAAAAGCTGGACACACATTAGCATGTGGAGGGAGAGCCATGCCAAACAGCGTCAGAGAAACACTGATTTGTAACATAAAACTGCTTTATTCAGTGTTTTTACTGGTTTTAATCACTGGGTCTGTTTGTTTTGGAGAGGAGGAGCGCTCTGTGGATAAATGAGCTCCTGGTAAAAACCTTCTGAACAGTAAACACTGAAGGAAGTTTAGTTGGAAGCAGAGCATGTGAGCGGAGCGGAGCTGAGCGGGGAGCGGGAGGATTTTGTGTTGAGCGAGGAGCGGCTATTTTTTTAAAAGGTGGAGCGGAGCCTTATCTCTCGCTCCAATTTCGCTCCAGTCGCTCATGCCCCGCCCAGAATGCATCTCTGCACCTGCGCACACCCACACTGTTTTCTTTCAAAACTATGGAGTTTACTGTGTACTTCAGAAAAGAAACTGAGAAGAGAAGCAGCAGTACCTTGGAGAACGGTCTCTAACTGCGGGGAGAGGCGAGAGGGCTTCCCCGGAGGTCGGCCGCTTAACCCGGTCCGTCTCCTCTACACTTTGACTTATTTCCACCCTGCCAGCGGTACCGTGGAGAATGGTCCCTAACTGCAGGGAGAGGGCTTCCCCGGAGAATCTAACAAGCTCATGTTTTATTTGTGAATAGAAGATTACAGGTTAGGGTAGTACGACGCAGTTTTTTTGAGTGGAGTGGTGAGCGAGTGGAGCGAGATAAAATTTATGATGGAGCGGAGCAAAGAATGCGCAGAAACAAGCAGAGCGGACGAGCGGCGCAAAGTGACAGGTCTGCGAGCGAGGAGCGGAAATTTTCACCCGTTCCGCTCCACTCCCATGCTCTGGTTGGAAGAGGTTTAAGCTAATTGCATACTACAATCCTAACTGCTAGACGCCATTAAATCTCCCTGAAGCTTACATATTTCTCCTTTAATCACTGCATATTTTCATGCCTACCCAACTGGAAACATGTAGTGAATCGCTGTAAAGGAAAATTACTTTTGTAAGTAGGAATCATTTATTATTTTTCATCTAATTACTGAAACTTTGTTTTTATCAAGACATGCCACAATGATGGTTAATGTTATACTAAAAAGATAAATGCATTCTCATTCAATGAAAATAATCAAGGTTATTTTAAAGGGGAACATCTTTTTATTTTCATGTCTTCTACAGCCTATGATTTGGTTTTAAATTAAACTACTTAGAAAATAAACCTATGCTGAAAACATCTGTAATGGCAAATAAAGAAAATTCATTCATTCTTTGATTCATTGAGCCGATAAACGTCTGTGTAGCACATATAAGATGTTAACAACATAACCTCCCTAAGCCAGATGGAATCGTATCAAGGCTATTTCACATAGAACGCAACCCGTTTCAGAAAGACATGAACACCAAATGTAATTGTTACTAAATGTGAATCTGAACATGAAAGGTCCACTTAGAAGAAAGATGCCTTCTTATCTAAAGTTCCTCACCATTTCATCAGTCAGATGACTGTCTGGTAACTGTATCCAAACCAATTTTCAAAGCCATAAAGACTAATCAATATCTTTTTAAGCTTTTCTCTCCGTTGTCTCTCCGTTCTACATCGATCTCTAAACAGTGTATGCAGCATTATATTGCTGTCAAAAAGTTAGAGGGTTGCCAAAATGGTTCAAAAAATCATAATGATGATATGAAAAGAAAACAAATATTCAGTGCAGTGCTTTTTTAACACAGTGTGGTGACGTACATTACTGTGCTAACACTTTGCGGAGCTACAGTTTGCACAAAGCTTTTATTATGGGCCTATTTTATTATAGGTTTACTTCATTAATAAAACACATAGACCGAGTCCCCATGACATCCTGCGAACAACAACTCTTCCAGGTAGACAACTGGCAATTAATTTCAACTGCGGCGATATGTGAAATCAGCCAACTTTTTATTTCTGATGTCCTTTTCAGCCGTAACTGTAGCGTTACGTAATCTGATGTTTCTGCTGTACTAATTTCATGTACTGTGTTGTTTTGCTAGCATCTTTGATAAACCAAATCAACTGTCACAGAAACTTAATGTACTGCTGTGGAGAGGGCCGTAGCAAAATGTATTTAAGCCACCTAAAAAAACAGTATCAGTGTAAGTGTACGCTATATTTGAATATATGCTCAGCTTTACCTTACAGTACATGCTAACCAATAACTAACCAGTTAATGGAGTCTGGTAGCTTTGATATAACCTCTTCAATTCCCTGTTGGAAAAGGCTGTCTGAAGGCAAGGTAAAGTGGAGAAAATATTTTCAAAATAGAACACACTTAAACTAATATTGACCTTTTTTGGTAGGCGTTTTCTAAGGTGGCTAAAAACGAATCAATTAAAGGAGTGTTTGCTCGGCGCCGCTTGATCTTACGTATGTGACACGAGGGTTTACTACCCGCAAGTTATTGTACATAAATGTGATTTGGTTTACAGGGTTCCTTTTGGCTGTAAACATACATATACAGCCGTATTCTTGCTAATGGCAGTTAATAAAAAATGCAGTATTTTCCATAGACATTAAATGTTAATTATCTACATTTAATTATCTATTGTCGAATCTAAAACAGCCCTGCACTGAAATTATGACACAGTGCCAGAAAACTTTAAGCCTTTACTGAAAAGCATAAAACAAAGTTTCATAAACGTTTATAAATTATATGTTGCTGCTGAAGCTGTTTATCTACTGTCATACTTTCATAAATTACAGAGTGTGTGTTGATTTATGTGCTGTGAACTGCTCAGAGTTACCCCATCGAGGCTGGGGCTCTTGTCCTGTGTCACTGCCAGCAGGTAGAGGGCAGAGCGGAGCACAGACCGAGGCAGGGCACAGCTACCCTCTGCCTGCACTGACTGCAACAGCCACACCACACTGGAGAACACCATCTGGTCTGGGAGGAGTCTGGCTCACACACACACACACACAAACAAACACACACATGCAATAATGATGACATTAACTTCAAATATTACAAGTACACATATATGAGGGCCAATATTTACATTTGAATGTATACAAACACACAGGAGCACACATACTTGAATGTCAAACACACCTCAGCAGACACATCGAGTGTGAGGGTAATAAAGTGGACAAACACACAAACTATGTGAGCAAAGCAGACAAAGTGCTCCAGGGGCGTGTTATTGTCACAAACTTACTATCTCTGTTTCTCACGCAAACGTACACACATACACAAACACACACAGAATGTATACCAACGCACGGACATGCACGCACATTCACAGTCCTTCTCCCTGTGCACACATACACTGCACGCACTCAGCCCTCCCACGCTATGTAAATCTCTGGCCACAGCTCCCATTAATCTTGATGAGACCACACAGTGGTGGGGAGAGGCTTTCATCCCCTTCCCTGGGGGGGGGGGGGTAATACATAGCTGAGGTTCCACAGAAGGACAGATTAAACTTTCCAAAGAGGCCGACGCATCTCTGAGGTCATAAAATATGTACTTAAGAACACCCTCGATGGGCCGCAGAAGTGCCGCTGGAGCAGGAAGAGAGCAACATGCAAAACCAGCTGGTTTCCCGATAGAGCTGGGTAATATATTGATAAAACTCTGGCTCTCTGTGATATGACACTAGATATCATCTGGCATTTTGGTTATTTCATAACTTTGAAATAGCTCAAATGTCCTTTTCTGCTCTCAGGGGCTGCATTCCAGCAAAGTTGTACTTTGCAAAGAAATTTTCTCAAATTATTAAACTTCAAAATTTGTCTGTCTTTGGTCATTAGATCCACATTAATAAGACTTTAATCTCCAGGGTTACTTTAATCTCCAAAATATTTTCAGGTTTTTAATATTGAGGAGGTGTAATATTAGATTCTCTCAACATCATGAAGCCATACTCATAAGAAGTATTTACTTCTCTCAGTGTTGTCAAGACATACTTATAACTTTATACGAAACTGGAGCACAGAGAAGTGGTGCAGCCAGCCAGCTGCCAGCTCTGGTATGGAGTACAGAGAGATTTGGTGACATTTCACTCTTTATATTGATTCTCTAAGCACATCAAACTATGCTCTTGGTTCTCAGAAAACCACTCCGCTGCAGCACCAGGCACAAGTGGTTAGAATTTGTATCAGCAAAATGCTTTTTACTAATGCTGAAATATTTATTGGTTCATTCCATTACCACAAAAATACCAGCTCAGAACATCATATTTTTTTGAGCTCTCATTTTTAAATTGAACCAGTTCCCTTGCTAATAAGCAAAATGTTTGCAAAACCAAATACTTTTCACTTTTTTGCAGTGCTTTGAAACAGTGCAACATCATAAATCCCCAGAGAGAATCATGCATGTCTACAATATGAGCAAAGCAGGTGAGGGTGTTTTATTCTTGTGCTTATTCATGTTTTCTAGGTTGTGTGCGTGCACTGTATTACCTATCTCCTCGCTGCAGGGCAAGGTGTAGCATTATCACCAGACAGTACTGGGTAGCCTTTGGTCCTTTATATTCACACAGCTGGAGCCCCGGGGCCTCACACAGCAGAGCAGGCCAGTCTGACAGACGACAGCACAGAGAGGGAAGGTTGTGCAGCAGCAGCTTTTCCACCTCCTCAACATCTGGGGGAAGAGCAAGGAAATAAAACAAGAACAAATAAGACAAAGGGTTTAATAACCAATGCCAGAAACAGGAACTGGAGAAAGTTATAAAGGGAGGGAGAGAGAGTGAGAGGACAGACGTAAAACACAGCAAAAGAGACCCTGAGGCCTCATGTACAAAGGAACATTACTCATCAATTTTGTGCTTACGACTACAGCCCAATCCTATGTCTTATTTTTACCTCTACCCCTCATTTTCAAGTGCCTCTTAGCCCTTGGAACAGAGTTACAAGGGGCAGTGGTTAAAATCTTCCCCTGAGGCGTCGGTGGCTTAGTGGTAGAGCAGGCGCCCCATGTACAAGGCTGTTGCCGCAGCGGCCTGGGCTCGACTCCAGCCTGTGGCCCTTTGCTGCATGTCACTCCCTCTCTCTCTCTCCCCCTTTCACACTTGTCTGTCCTATCGATTAAAGGCTTAAAAAATGCCCCAAAAAATATCTTTAAAAAAAAAAAAAATCTTCACCTATGAATCATATAACCCTCCAAGATTCTGATCAACAGTCATTGATGGCGTTTATGTAAACAGACCCAACTATGGTTATAACGGTATTATCAGAATGTTATTTGCCATTTATCTGATGGAAACAGAAAAAAAAATGGATTCACAACTTATGTTTCACACTACCAATCAACCAAACCAACCAAAGTTATCAAATAAAAAAGAACAGTGCCTCATTACCAGGCCACCAGCCGTGGTCTGTAGGCTAAAGTTAGATGCTCCCACCTGGACTGTGTGTACTGAAATAAGAAAAGCGGTAACAAGTGCAGGAACTCAGTTGCTGGACTTTAGTTGAATTTTGAGTGTAATGTGCCATCAAAGGTGGGGATGCAACATTTTTTTGTCATGCTTATTATAAAGAAAAGGACCACTGTTGCTTGTCCAGCCATCTTGCCGATAATTTCTCATAACACGTGGTTTGGACAGTGCCTCTGATAAACCGCCATTTGGAGGGCCATATGGCCCAAATAATTCGCTCTACTCCTCAATCACAACCAGAATCGTGAAACCCCCTGCCCCTTGACATGAAGATGTAAAACTGAGGGGTAAGGGCTGAGTGACAGGGGGAAGGGCACAGATCAATAACTGAAGAGGCCTTCAAGACACAGGCCCATAGTGACCACAAAGAGATTTAAAATGACCAGATAGAAATGCAAAGGAACAGCAAAGAGAGACAAAATAACTACAAAAAGGGACAAAAGTCCCTCAAACAGACACAAAACGAGGCCAAAGACAAAAAAAACCACACACACAAAAAGATGAATTACAACTGCAAAGTGTGTGTGTCTTGCACCTATGTAGGAGAGGTGTGGGGGCCTATTGTCTTATAATCTAATGAACTGGGATTGGGCCTAAAACCAAGCCAAAACTGAGGTTCAGAAAAAAATCATCTGGGGTTGAAAATGAAAGGGTTTCAGTGATTTCACACTTTTCCAATTATCTATGTTTTATTCAAACACAAAGCCAATATCCATCATTAACCAAGCTATGGATGTGGTGCACGCTTAAATTCAATTTTTATAACTTTCTTTGAAAAGCCATATTATGTAAAAGTTAAAGAACGCTATTTCATAAATGAGGTCCCTAAAGAATAGCAAGACGAGATGAAAAGGGCAGGCGGAATGACGGGTGTAGTACAAAAGGAAACAGTAAGAAGGAAAGTGAGACTGCATGCGAGAGGTGCACGGAGACAAAACACAACAGGACCAGTGTGAGAGTGCTGCAAAGGACTTTCACCTCTTGAAGGACTGGAGGACTGACAGACAGGGACATGTGGCAAAAGAAGATGATACATGTAAATAAACAATACTGTATAAAATGGTAAGAGAGAAAAAAGACAATGAAGAGACAAAGGGAAGGGAAGATGTGAAGCACAGTGGGGAATTATTTTCTGTAACAGCTAAAAGAGTAGGACTATCTGCACTGAGCCGTTGCCTCCATCTCTGGGTGGTCTTTAGGGAGCTGGAGAGAGTGGTGAGGGAAGAAACGATAGGGAGAGGGAGAAGAAAATGAGGTGCAGCTTTTAAAGAACTGAAAGAGAACAACACAGAAAGAGACAGGGAACCCGAAAAGAGGACCATTGAAACTTGGCACTGTATAGAGAAAATGGTGCTGTGCAATGTAGCCTCTTGCAGGTGTGGAGAAAAAGAGAGCAGAGGAGTGGGGAAGGTAACGACACCACATGCAGTATATAAGGGAAGAGGAGGAAAGCAGTGGCACAGCAAAGAAAAGGATGACAAAGAAGGAACAGGGAGATGTCAGACAGGGATAGGGGTCACTGATGCATGACTACACAGAGGCTATAAAGCCACCGCAAGGTCTGCAGGGAGAGAGACTACCAATCAGCCAAAGAGGAAAACAAAGTAAAGAAGGGAACAGGAGTTGAAGAAATACAGAAAAAGGAGGAGAGATAAATATAACCAGGAACGAGAAAAGGGGAAAGTGGCCAAGGTTGCAGACCCATGGCAAGACAGAGAGCACTCTGGTCTGGAGGGACCACTGAAGAGAAAGAGTAAGAAATAAATGGCAGCGTTTAGAAAGCACAGAAAAATGAGAAGAAGGGCACCAGGCACCAATAAAGCCGTCATCTCCAGGGAACTGGGGGGAAAGAGAAGAGAGGCAGAGAGGAGAATAAAAGGATGTCTCAGAGGGAGGACTGGGAGGGAGAGGAACACAGCTAAGGACAGACACATGAAGGAGATGAGAAGGGAAACAACAGATGGGAGAAAGACAACAGACCTACAAAGCAGGCTGCAGTGACATGTTGCCTCCTGCTCAGGTTTTTATCAACATTAAATAATAGAGGATAAAGAAGAGGAAAAACATTTTCAGCTATTATACAGTTATAAGACAACTATACAAAGGTAGACATGATACAATTTAAAGGGACAGTACACCCCCAAATCAAAAATACATAGTTTTCCTCTTACCTGTAGTTCTGTTTATCAGTCTAGATTGTTTAGGTGTGAGTTGCAGAGTGTTGGAGATATCAGCTGTGGAGATGTCTGTGCTCTCTCCAATATAATGGAACTAGATGGTACTCAGCTTGTGGTACTCAAAGTGCCAAATAATATATATTTGAAAAACTCAGCAGCAGTGTCTCTTTCCAGAAATCATGACCTGGTTACTCAAGATAATCCACAGACCTTGTTGTGAGCAGTTTCATGTAGGAAATATTTGCTTTCTATTGAACTAAAACTGCCAACCGTATCACTGCGCAGAAGAAGGCATGTATCTACTCATAGAAGAGAGGCTTGTGCTCATTACAGCTTGAAATGAATGGCATCCTCCTCTGCTGAGCTGCTAGCTCAGTGGTGCTAGGTGAGCTAACAGTAGATGCACACTTCCCTCTGCGCAGTGATACAGTTGGCGGGTGTAGTTCCATAGAAAGAAAATAATTCCTACATAAAACTGCTCACAACAAGGTTTGTTGGTTATCTTGAGTAACTGGGTCATGATTTCTGGAAAGAGACCTTCAATCAATCAATCAATTTTATTTATAAGCCCAATATCACAAATCACAATTTGCCTCACAGGGCTTTACAGCATACGACATCCCTCTGTCCTTTGGACCCTCACAGCGGATAAGGAAAAGGAAAAAAATGGTAGAAACCTCGAGAAGAGGAACTGAGGAGGGATCCCTCTTCCAGGACGGACAGACGTGCAATATTGCTGTTGTGTTTTTCAAATGTAATTTTTTTAGTGCTTTGACAGTACACTCCCAACTCAATACCAACGCTTGGTCAGTGGCCCTACCCATCATAATATTATGCGCTACGTACCCCTCCTGCATCAGTTTTGGACATTCAGGGACAGCATGTGAATTTACACTCATTAAATGCATCGTCTCTTTTTAAAACAAACTTCTTTTTTCACAGGACATGCACAGTTTCTGCTTGTTAAATGCATTCAGTCTTTTTCAAAATAAACTTAGAACCTTGGTTAAAAAGAAAAGTTAGTTTTTAGGTTTACTCCCTTGCATTTAGGCAACAAAAGTATGCAATCATGTTTAGAATAAAACATGATGGGTTGGCTTAAAAAATGTACATTTGTTACTAACCTAATATAACGTGACAGATGTGACTTACTAGCATTAGTCTTACCACTTACTATGGTTGACTTTTGGTTTCTATGCATACTTTCTCACTCTTAATACTACGGTAGTTGCCAGGAGTGTCAAAAATGCTGCTGCCTGGTGCATCTCATACCGCCACAAAAAGGTGCCTCTCTGCGATGGTGTCTGAAACCAAGGGCCATTGACCAAACGTCGATATTAGACAAGTTGGGATTGAGACCGGGTTTACTTGGTGCAACACAAGCTGAGTGTCATCTAGTTCCAATATATTCAAGAAAAGGCAGACACCTCTAACAGTCGACAACTCACACCAAGACTGTCTCTGGGTGAACACAACTACAAAACACTGACAGAGAGAGGTGCAGAACAGGAAGACAAACCAGAAACAGTATATAAAATATAAATATATATATATAAATATATATATATAAAATATAAAATATGATCAAATATAAAATATGATCAAAGTTTCAAATAAGAAAAATACCTAACATATAATGTAGATGGTAAAATTCTAGAAGAAGAAAAATGAGAGAAAACAAGAGGCTGAAAATGAAACTGAAACAGATAAGGGTGATGAAAGGGGGGGAGGCAGACAGAAAAAGGAACAAACAGGAGTCTAGCTCCACAGAAGCCATTATTCAAAGCCTCAAACACACAAACAAACACACACACAGCATGCATACAAACACACACATACACCTACACCCTTGCTCGCACAACTCTCACATCTCATTACCTAAAAGAAATATTTTACTCAACTCTGGTCTCAATGTCACATCATGTCTCCATGGAACAAGTGCAGTTTCCAGTAAAACATTTCTTTCATTTCATTTTAGATGTTACAGGGATGTGGAAAGAGATTAGAAGGGAAACAACCTGGATCGTAACATTTTTGTTAACTCACTTACAACTTCACTTACCTTTCTTTTATTTCATTTACTTCAGTCTCACATAATCAGAAGCAAAGCCCCTTTAATTGAAGGCACCAACTGTGTTGTCACTAAATGCGTTGGCATTTAAGAGACTCTTTCATTATCTTTTGCATCAGCTCTTTCACACAGCAACTAAAAATCAGCAAGCTGTTCAGTGTTCAATTCAAGGCCATTTCACACATTAAACATGTTTACTGTAAACACATCTGCTCGAGCTTTTCTTTAGTGCCTTTGCAAACACGTTTCTAAAATGGGATCATCGGCTTATATAAGCAAAGCTGTTTCTGAGACCCCCCTCAGAACAAGGTTAGCTTAACTCAAGAGAAAAGGCATCTCTATTAGGGATGAGATTCCTGGTTAAAGTTATTGATGTTTAAAGTCAACACAGTAAAGTGAAAACGGAGGGAGACGGGGTGAGCATGTGCAGGTAAGAGAGAGAGAGAGAGAGCATGCAATGTGGTAATTGCAAGTTTGTTAGATTCATTAAAGGGAACCTATCATGCTCATTTTCAGGTTTATACTGTATTTGTATTTTGGGTTTCAGCTACAACCTGTTTAAATCCTTTGGCATTCAAAAGACACTTAATCTTTCCCATACTGTTTCCCTGATATAGCTTAATCACCCTCTGTCTGAAACGCAGTCTTAGGATGCTTTCAGAACTATAGTTGTCTTGCTTTGGTCTGAATCAGGGACTAATTTTGTCACAAAGTTGTATAATTGCCTAGAGTTGGTTCGTGTTCTCACAGCAGCATTTACAAACGGACCAGATCAAATGCCTTGTGTGAGAAAGCTGCTCTTGATTGGTCAGAATTTCCATGTGGGAAAAATCCAGGAAGTAAAGCAAATGTTGAAGAAGAGTACACTTGCAAGATAAATGTGACACTTTCTAATGTCACAATGGAGGGACAACTACGCAGGTTGATTTTAGCGCTGCTCATCGTGGACTATATTGCTGTCATTGTTCATTTTAGTCAAACCATACAGTTTGAAAACGAGGCGCGGCTCCAACTAGAAAACAATGTTTTGATGCATTGGATGTGCTGAATGTGCATATTAAGGCAGTACAGGAGGAGGTGCACATTAATAATCCTCCAGGACTGTAACATGCTCATGTTTAACCCAAACAATGTGTCAT